CAGAAAGAGGAGAGAAAGTGGGGTAAGGAGGCAGACGGGGTGAGGACAGAGGAAAAAGACAGGTGGGGGTAAGGAGAGGGGGCAATAGTAGGTGGGAGAGACAGGGAGAGGATAGTCATAGAGAGAGGAAGGAGAGAGAGGGGGAAATGGGAAGTCATGTTGAGGTTGTATAGGACATTGATGAGGCCTCTTCTGGAGTACTGTGTGCAGTTCTGGTCACCCAGTTATAGAAAGGATACTATCAAGCTGGAGAGGGTTCAGAAGAGATTTGCCAGGATGTTGCCGGGTATGGAAGGTTTGAGTTATAGGGAGAGGCTGGATAGGCTGGGAGTTTTCTTCACTGGAGTGTAGAATGTTGAGAGGTGACCTGATAGAAGTTTATAAAATAATGAGAGGTATAGATAGGGTTAATGGTAGGTGCCTTTTCCCTATGATGGGGGGGGATTTCAAGACTAGGGGGCACAATTTTAAGGTGAGAGGAGAGAGCTTCAAAAAAGACATGAGGGGCATTTTTTTTTATACAGCGGGTGGTTCATGTGTGGAATGAACTTCCTGAGGAAGTGGTGGAATTACAATGTTTAAAAGACATTTGGATAAGTACATGAACAGGAAAGATTTGTAGGGATATGGGCCAGGAGCAGGCAGGTGGGACTAGTTTAGTTTGGGATGATGTTCAGCATGGACTGGTTGGACCAAAGGGTCTGTTTCCGTGCTGTATGCCTCTATGAGTCTATGAGGGGGGGTGAGAAAGGGACCAAAAGAGAGAGAGAGAAGGGAATACAGAGCTGGAAAGAGGGGAAGTAATAGAGGGAGTGGGATGGAGGGGAAGTGGGAGAGGCAGAAGGGAGGGTCAGGAGAAGGGCTGTAAATGATGGGGGGGAGACAAAGCGAGAAAGAGACAAGGGCATCAGAGTTGGAGATGGCTTGAGAGAGAGAGTGGGGGAAGAGACAGGATGAGAGCAGTGCTGAAAAAGAGGGGCAGGTGGGAGAGAGAAAGAGAGAGTAAATGAAGAAAGAGGTGGGGGAGAAGAGGGGAAAGGATCAATGAGAAAAAGGGAGATAGAGGACAGTGTGCGTGCAAGGGTGGGGGCAGAGAGTGAGAGGGAGCAAAGATAGAAAGAGAGGAGGTGAGAAAGGAAGTCAGGTGCGGGGGTAGGGGGCAGAAAGAGCTGGATGGTGCTGGGAAGGTTGTGAATTATCCTGGCTGACAGATGGAAGATCATCAAATGGACAAAGTCCAGGATATGTGAGGGGACTATGAGGTGTTCAAAGCCTAGTTAGTGATCGCTGTAAAAACCCAGGTCACTTCACTGAAATTCATCCCAATTTCTAACTGATCTTGCTAGACCTGCATTAGTTAGGAGCATTAAAGGCTCCAGAACGAAGATGGCTAGCATGGCGTGAAGGGGCAGAACAGCCAAGACCTCAGTGAATAATGAACCTCAAGAAGTTTTCAATAAAGTTCTGACATCCCTCTTCCTCCTCTGAATAACTTGTCAACACTCATCGCCTTGGCCCATGGTCAGGGAATGCCTCCTGGTGGAAGCGAGCAGAGATGGAGATTGCTGAGTGACAAAAGGTAGGGGTAGGATGGGGTAAAAATAAATTGCAGCTGAAAACATCAAATGATTTCTCCAACGACATTGCCACGCTTAGCCAGGAAGACCACACCCAAAGTCGTAAGAAATGACAGCACAGAATCAGAAGATGTGGCTTCAAACAGATTTACTGCAGGTCAGCCCAGGATAGGAGAGGGATCACAGTGACTGCTGGAGAAACTCAGCAGGTCCAGCATCATCCGTGGAGAGAGAAACAGAGTTCACATTCTGAGTCCAATAGGGCTTCTTCTGAACCGAACTAAACTGAAGCATTAATTCTCGTTTCTCTCTCCACTGGTGCTGCCAGATCTGCTGAGCTTCTCCAGCACTTTCTGCGTTTGTTTCAGATTTACAGCATCTTCAGTACTTTGCTTTTTATACTTCATCGCATCAACCAGACTGACTGTCCTGGTGGGAGACAGTAGGAACAGCCGATGCTGGAGAATCTGAGATAACAAGGTGCAGAGCTGGATGAACACAGCAGGCCAAGCAGCATCAGAGGAGCAGGAAAGATGACGTTTCGGGTCTGGAGACTCTCCTGGTGTGCTGTTAAGGGAGTGCTGCACTGTTGGAGATGTAGCCTTCAAATACAACACTAACCAGAGGATCTGTCTGCTCTCCCAGGTAGACAATAAAGAACACGCAACATTATTTTAACTAAGAAATCTTCCCCATACTCTTGCTGATACAGTCTCCTTAACCAATATCCCTAAATAGTTAGTTTTATAGAACATAGAACATAGAACATAGAACAGTACAGCACAGTACAGGTCCTTTGGTCCATGATGTTGTGCCGAATTTTTACCCTAATCCTAAGGTCTATCTAACCTCCACCCCTACCTTATACTAGCATCCATATGCCTCTCTAATAGCTGCTTAAATGCCCCTAATGAGGCCAACTCCACTACCCTCTCCAGCAAGACATTCCATGCCCCGACCACTCTCTGAGTAAAGAACCTACCTCTGACGTCTCCCCTGTATCTACCTCCACTCACTTTAAAACTATGCCCCCCCCCGTAATAGCTACCTGCACCCTAGGAAAAAGTCTCTGGCTGTCCACTCTATCTATACCTCTTTATCCTGTCATCACACTAATGGGAAGGAAGTGATTGCGCTGGAGAGTGTGCAGAGGAGATTCACCAGGATATGACCTGGGATGGAACATTTCAGCGATGAAGAGAGACTATATAAGCTCGGGTTATTTTCCTTTTGGAGCAGAGAAGGTTGAGGGGGAACCTGATAAAAGTGTATAAAATTATGATGGGCATGAACAGTGAGGATAGAAATCTGCAGGCCCCCTAAGTCAACAGGTCAGCAACAAGGGGGCATAACTGTAAAGTGGAGGCAAGGAGGTTTACAGGGGGCTGAGGAAAATGTTTTTCACTCACTATCCTGAGTTGGAAATATATCGCCGTTCCTTCAGCGTCGTTGGGTCAAAATTCTGGAATTCCTTCACTAAGGGCATTGTATGTCTGCCCTCAGCACATGGACCGCAGCAATTCAAGAAGGCAGCTCAGCACCACCTTCTGAAGGGGGCAACTAGGGACGGGCGATAAATGCTGGACCAACCAGCGATGTTCATGTCCCGGGACTGAACTAAAAAACCCTGAAGCTGGTGAAGCTGAGAGGGTAGTTGAGGAGGAAACCTCACAACTTTTATGAAGCTCTTGGGATGAGCACTTGAAACGTCATAACATTCAAGGCGAGGGACCTAGAGCAGCAATGTGGGATTGGTGTCGATAGGTTGGCGTAGACTTGATGGGCTGAAGGGCCTCTGCTGTGTTGCATGACTCTGTGAAGAGAGTGAAACTCGGGCACACAACCAATTTGGGTTGGGCAGGGCTGCCCACCACTTACTTACCGAGGTGTTCTGGCACTGCACACTGGTGCTGTTGAACCGGAGAGCGGGCACACGATGCATGGTCCCCTGGATGTCGAAGATACACTCATAGCTCCGTTGTCCCGACTGCGGCTGGGGGAGATTCTTGGCAGTGAGCGTGATCGGTTTGACCACTCCGACCGGGATGAAAATCTCCGTCGAGGGCAGGATCTGTGGGCAGTCCTGTTAAGAGAGAACAGCACACCCCATGAATGACAGGCCACCACCTCCACATCAACACTTACCTCCTGTCAGCCCCAGCCAATTGCTCCTTCCCATTCATCCTGAACAGATGGCAATTAGCAGTGAACTGCCCAGATGAACAGTCTCATTCCGCCCTCAGTTCTGGTGCCCAATAACATAATTCTCAATGGAAGACATTTCATTTTGAAACCAGCTGCCAGACTTGGCTCAGCCAATGATGGTCTTGGTACTGAGTCAGAAAACCATTGGTTTGAGCCCCACTGCAGAGACTAGAACCCGCGGTCCAGGTTGAGGTTCCCAAACAGAACTGAAGGAGCCCTGCGCTGTCAGAGATGCCATGTCTTGGATCTGACGTTAAACCACCCATCCCTCTCAGGTTCCTCATGGTGACATCGGCAAAACAGCAAGGGGCCTCTTCCCTGAGCCCTGGCCCTCAACCACCATCATCAATAAAAAGGTCATATCACAGAACAGTTATGGCATGGAAGGAGGCCATCTGGCCCATCATATCCGTACTGGTTCTATCACCCAGTGCCAAACTTCTGCCTTTACACAGAAAATTTACAACACAGAATGAGGCCATTCAACCCAATGTGCCCTGACTAGACCAGTTCATAAACGTGGTTGGCATGGACGAGTTGTGTCGAAGGACCTGTTTCCATGGCTATGGCTGTATGGTTCTATCATAGAACATAGAACACAGAACATTACAGTGCAGTACAGGCCCTTCGGCCCTCGATGTTGCGCCGACCTGTGAAACCAATCTGAAGCCCATCTAACCTAAACTATTCCATTATCATCCATATGTTTATACAATGACCATTTAAATGCCCTTAAAGTTGGCGAGTCTACTACTTTTGCAGGCAGGGCATTCCACGCCCTTACTACTCTCTGAGTAAAGAACCTACCTCTGACATCTGTCCTATATCTATCACCCCTCAATTTAAAGCTATGTCCCCTCGTGCTAACCATCACCATCCGAGGAAAAAGGCTCCCACTGTCCACCCTATCTAATCCTCTGATCATCTTGTATCAGCTTGTATCAATCTCCTGCCTTTTCACAGAAAATGTATGGCACAGAATGAGGCCATTCAGCCCATTGTGCCTGTACTGGTTTCACATCCAGTGCCAATCTCCTGCCTTTTCACAGAAAATGTGTGACACGGAATGAAGCTATTTGGCCCATCGTGTCTGTGCCTAAGTGCTACCCAACTGAATCCTACTCTAGTGTACTCTGCAGGTCATGGATCTTCAAAACTTATTGCATGGCGTGAACATTTCTGTCTACACACAACATTTTCAGGCACTGAGTTCCAACTTCTCCTCACCCCTACGCCCTGCCAACCTCCGTTCTCTCCCTACCCCCTGCACGCCATTCCCATTTTAAATAATCATCCAAGCCTACTTGAATGCCTTTTATCACATGGCTGTTTGTGGGATCGCACTGTGTGCAAATTGGTTGCCGCGAACAAACTAAAACAACCACACGCTGGAGAGATAAACAGAGGAAGAGAAACATGGTGGGAAACAGAAATCGAGAAGGTGTTACAATCCACACAAGCCACTTCAATCATGAAAACCTCAGTTACCTGAAATCACCTAAAAAATCAATCACTCACAACTGTAACCATCACATTAACGATTTCAATCAAAGATCTCTGCAAATAGCTTTCAGTAACTTCACCTTCTGTAAATACAATATTCCATAACCAGCTTATGGTGAGTCAAAAAGGCGGCCCCACCAATTCATTTGGACAACAGGCTCTTTTTATAAAAACCATCTAAAGAAATATTGGGAATTACTCTCTCCCTGGGAATTCAGATATCCCTCCGAGAGGAGGGGCAGTGAGGAAATTCATCCCTGTGCCACCATGCAGTGCAAAGACATGGAATCCCATAGTGCAGAAAGAATCCACTAGCTCATTGAGTGACCCTCTGAAGAGAATCCCTAGCTCTGTCACTCTGCATTTTACCGTGGCTAATCCACCTGGCCTGTACACTGTGGGCAATGCAGCACGACCAATCCACCCTAACCTGCACATCTTTGGACTGTGGGAGAAAACCGGAGCACCCGGAGGAAACCCACGCAGACACGGGGAGAATGTGCAAACTCCACACAGACAGTCGCCCGAGGCTGGAATCAGGCCTGGATTCCTGGTGCTGTGAAGCAGCACTGAGCCACGATGCCACCTCTAACAGCTTGGTATTGTCAGGCCAGACAGTAGACAGTGCTTCAGTCGGTGCAAATAAGGGGGAGCAGGTTTAGGACTGAGTTGAGGAGAAACTTCTTCTCCCAAAGGGTTGTGAATCTGTGAAATTTCCTGCCCAGTGAAGTAGTTGAGGCTACCTCGTTGAATGTTTTTAAGGCAAAGATAGTTAGATTTTTGAACAGTAAAGGGATTAAGGGTTATGGTGAGCAGGCGGGTAAGCGGAGCTGAGTCCATGAGAAGATCAGCCATGATCTTATTGAATGGGAGAGCAGGTTCAATGGGCCGAATGGACTACTCCTACCCCTGGTTCTTATTCCTGGTACCTTGGAGAGTCAGCTCGCACTTTAGCTGCGGAAAGACTCCGAATGGTCAGACCATCATTCATAAGAATCATCAAAAACGACTGCAGGGAGGAGGTTTCTGGAGGTGACTGGCCATCACAATCTTTTCATGGACAATGAGACAACCAACACCAACTTGACCAGCAACGCACCCCTCGAGAGACTGAATTTGTAAAGGATATCGGTGCGGTTTAGGTGGGTGCTCCCTCATTTCACAGGAGACAGGGAGCTTATAGACATGGGAGCAATGCTCATGAGCAGGTGCATTACACCAATACAGCCCTGCATTCTCCCCATGCATCCAGCTGAAAGGAGAGCCCCAGATTTGTCACTGTGCCTTTAGCAGTTTCTCAGAACAATTATAGCACAGAAGGAGGACATTCGGCCCATTTCAGGTCTTTACAAGAGCACCTCCAGCTGGTCTCATTCCCAACTCTACCCTGCAATAGTTTTCCCTTCAAGTGCCTTTCCAATTCCCACTTGAACAGCCCAGTTGAATCTGCCTGCACTACCTTCTCAGGTAGTGCATTCCAGACCCGAACCGTTCACTGCAGAAGCAGGTTTTCACTCCATGGCACCATTGCTTCTTCTGCCAGCCACCTTAAATTCATGCCTTTGGGTTCTCAACTCCTCCATCAATGGGAACACAGTCTCCTTATCTACTCTGTTCAGGTCCCTCGTGATTGTGAGCACCTCAATCAGATGTCTGACCAGCCTTCTCTTGGATCATAGATCATAAGATCCCTACGGTGTAGGAACAGGCCCTTCGGCCCAACAAGTCCACACCGACCCTCAGAGCATCCCACCCAGACCCATCCCCCTATAACCCAATGAACCTACACATCATCCTCCAAGGAGAACAGCCGCCGCATCTCCACATTTCTAACATGGCTGGGAAGTTAGTTGACTGGTGGCTGGCAATAAGTGGGAATGAAGAATCAGTACTCACATTGGCAGGATGTGGTCAGTGCTGTCCTGCAAGGATCTCAATTATTCACATTATTTATTAATGACTTGGATGATGGCATAGAAGGTCACACATCCAACTCTGTGATGACACAAAGTTAGGCAGCGTCATAGTCAATGTAGAGGGTAGCTTAAAATTACAAAGGGATATTGAAGTAACTCCACAGAGGCCTGTATCCCATCACCAAGTCACCCTTTATTCACATGTGCATAGTACATGACACTAGAGAGTTCAGGAAAGATGTTAAGAAGCACTTCAACACACAAAGGGTGGTAGAAATATGGAACATTCTTCCACAAACAGCAGTTGATGCAGGATCAGTTGTTAGCTTTAAACCTGAGGTAGATAAACAATACCTTTGCTTAACAAAAATATAAGGGACATGGAGTTTGGCCACAGATCAGCCATGATCTCATTGAACAGGCTCGAGAGTCTGAATGGCCCAGTCTTGTTCCTGTGTTCCTGCAGATGTTGTTTGGTAGACAAAATTACGCACAGGAAGACCTGACAAACAGTAATGAGGTGAAACAGAGAATCACAGACAAGAGTGTGTTAAAAATTGCACTGTGCATTTTATCCACTTGAGGCCACCATACACACATGTACCAGCAGAGGGAGTCTGCTAGGAAGACATATTTTAACAGGTTTAAAATTTACCACTCCTCTAGTTTTATGTCTAAATATCTCTGGCTGAATATATAATTGTTTCAGTCTTAACTGCATAATACAAAATGCTAAGGCCAATCAGCCCCTTATGTCAATGCTGACACTTCGAAATTGGGGTCCAATAAATCTCATTCCTCTGTCATAGAGTTATAGCAGCATTCAGTCTTACAGCATGGAAACAGATCCTTCAGTCCAACTCATCCATGCCACCAGGTTTCCCAAACTAAACTAGCCCCCTTTGCCAACATTTGGCCCATATCCCTCTAAACCCTTCCTGTTCATGCAACTGTCCAAATGTCTTTTAAATGTTGGAACTGTACCTGCCTCTACCACTTCTTCCGGCAACTTGTTCCATAAACACACCATACTCTTTGTGAAAGAGTTGACCCTCAGGTCCCTTGTAAACTTTCCACTCTCACCTTGAACCTATGCCCTCTAGTTTTGAAATTCCTTACCCATTTCCCCGTAAACCTGATAATTTTACATTGAAGGTCATATTAAGTCAGAAACTGGTGGGGATATTGACCTTGGTACTCGGGGGCTGAGTAATGCTGTGGGGGGTCCACCTTGACCAAACTCAATTGGTTCTTGCACAATTTTCATAGAATCACAAATAATCTCAACACAGGAGGCTATTCAGCCCATTGTGTCTGTACCAGTAGCACACAGGAACTATCCTCAAAAAGCCCATTTTCCCCATAATTTCTGTCGAATCACACCAATATCTTCCATCAAGCACTTCACTGGATTATACCTTAAAACCGACAATTGAAGTGACAATAGATCCTATCAGCT